ATTACGTAAATGAAGTTTAACACCTTCCCCCGAGCAGTTCCCAGAATCTTACGAATAGCGAATTGATATATCGTTATCTTTCTTCTCTTCTTAGAGGTATGCAACCTAAAATAGGTGAACTTGGCTCTGCGTCATTCTAACCCTAGGGTTGGCTCGAGCCTCTCGAATGTTGACGATGGAATCTGGAGTCTTATTTTAGATTTCACGGGTATATGAAAAACACGAAAAAAGGAATCATTATCGTAATATGACGTCATTGTTTATGCAAGCGAAGATAATATTGCTAGCGAATTTTGGGAACGCGAACAAAATACCGCTTGCTACTTGCAGATTGAAATTCTACATAGATTCGTAAAAAAATTTTTATTCAAAATTTGTTACGAATATTAATAATTTTCTGGGCAATATGGTTATTTCGGAATGTCGACACTTCGATGCGTCATTAAAAAATAACTTGGAAAAAACTTGAAATGGTGGAAAATAAAAATAATGGAATTGCTTGAAAGATAATAGAAGGTTATCGAAAGGAAAAAATAACAGATTATCTATTAAAAGTTTTCTTTTTAAATTTCTCAGAAATATGCAAGAAACATATTGATCGATCTATTATAGCAGATATCGATTTTATGATAAAAAGAATTGCCAAAAATAAAATTCTGCTCTGCAGAGAAGTGCAGTATTACGAACAGTCCGAGTTGCCAGTAAAATAGTCGAGCATTGACTACAGTTTTCAGCGGAACAGTGTATGGTTGCTTGAAAATTTCAGGATGACTACTGCAGGATATTTTTATTGGGATTGGATCGGCATCCCGAGGGCTTATCATCGCATAGAATAACCTGAACGTCCAATTTTATCGAATTTTTTCACTACTTTATCTGAATATGATAGAAGACATACTGCGATGACGCAAATGAGCTACTTTATACTTTACTCTACGAAAATAACAAACTTATTCCTGAAACTTTCGCTTTCGCGATAAAATTCAGAGAAATGAAAGTTTCAAAATTCCAACCTTGCAATATAATATTCCAAAATTTGAATCAATCGTTACATTCGATACAAATTAACAACATTTCCCATTTAATTTAACTTAAAGTAAACGATTCGTAATTTGATACAGATTTTCCTTACATTTCCTCCGAGAATCGAAGAAGACAGTAAAGAAAGAAAACGTTTGTCGTAGGATATTCTTTTATATGTATACACCAGAGAGAAATACGGACACGTTAGATGCGTGTTTCGTGAGAAACGAAAGAAGGGATGAAATCGTCGACGATTCTTCACCGTCCTTTTCTGCAAGCAGTTAAGTGCTTTCCAGGGGGGGAGGGGAATGGAAGGTCCTTTTACGAGGGAAACTGGAGGTCCCCGACGCACAAGCAAAGCCAAGAAAATTAAAGAAACCCTAATAATTGTTCAGACATCGTGTCGTCTTTGTTACTTTCTCGTGCGCCGTTAAAGCTGCGCTCCTGAAATAATCCACGATTTTCCGACCGCGTAGCCTAACTGTGCAGTCACTTGGACGACGATGCACTCTCGATATTCGTGAAATAGGTCGATCTCGACGCGAAACTTTGCACGTCAATCTGCATCGAACGTTGCAACCCAGACGTTTTGGGGGCAATGCTATCGGTAACGCTGAAGAATATTTCAGAAGCCTTGAATCCGTGAGACGGCAAGTTACCATAGCTGACAGATCGCGCACAGTTGCTCTTTTTATCAAAGAAAACATTGTCAGGATGGAATTAGGAGAGGTTGATATTACAAGTGTTAAGCCAGAAATATCGAAGGCGACGCGGATTGAATAATTTCTTCCTCGTGTGATGCAACGTCTACGAATGCCAAGTATCGGTGAAGTGTTCAGGGATTTTGGCTTCGAATGATCTAGCCAACGAGGGTGGTCTAACGTGTAAACATTTATGAGAGATTTCTGTAAATTTGTTTCATAATTGTTGAAATAACGTGGACGAAAATTTGAAAATAATTCCAAGGTGTTTCATTTCTACGACATTTTCTCTCCCCTGACATCGTACATCAACGAATCCCTGGGGTTAATACTCTCGTAGTCTCAACATGCTGTTTCTTAATTTCTAAATACTGTGAAAAGGGACAAGATGAGAGAAACACTGTTTACACTCGTTTGAAAATAGAAAATAAATTTCTACAATGATGCGCCTCGCTTTGCAATGTAAACAAAAAACTTGAGGAAGCACAGTCGTAAATATCTTTGTGATAGAAACGACGTTTCGTAGGTAAAGCTGTCCACACTCGAGCATATAAATATGAAACACAAAGCGATACGTGTGATATTTTATTATTCGACAAATTGTAAACACGTTAGTTTGTCATAACGAATATAAATTTCATTTTTTCACTTGATCAATGATAAAACCATTATACTTCGTCGTTGTCCTTTCTGGTGCTATAAAACAGTGCCTCGCTTACACTACCCGCGAAGAAGCTGTTACAATTCGCGATCGATTATGGTTATCGCGTGTAATATAACACAAGGTTGCAATGATGACGTTAACGTTTCTCGTCCCCGATACAATTGGACAACAGAATCATCTGAACAGTATCAACGACTTCTATGGCAATATTGCCAGCATCGGAAAAATCGAGAAAATGAATTTCGAACGTACTTCAATTAGTCCAAGTCCACCCTTATTGCTTTCAACGTACAATTAAAATTCCACCTAACTTAATACTATTTTAAATTTCACTTTTCACTAATTTCCTTCCACCACAAGAGGTTCGACATCCAAGGAACCATGAGCTCTTCGTGAGCCACGAAAGATCGTTTTATGAAACACTCGAGCAACTGAAAATTCCATCTGATGTAACCCGATTTCGTGGAAGCACAATCAAGCATAAAGTGTGTATGTTTCTCGTTAGCTCGTAATTTTCTCGTTCGGTATTAGAGGCGAAAGATGAAACATTGGCCCTCTGGTTATTCGCGAAAGTGCATTCTCACGTCGTGAATCAATCGTCGCTGATTCCTGCACGCGTTCTTCTCGCACTTTCGTCGTTCGAATAAGGTAGACTCCCGTGAAAACATCACCGAAAGATAATTTTACACGTTGCCCAATCGTCGACGATCCAGTTTACTTTGGCCACGCGTCTACTGTCTGTTTTTCTCTTCTTTTTCTCTCATCGAACGTATCGTCAAAAGTGTCCCCCGCTATTGCGGCACACTGGGGGATCGATAATGCCAATTTACACACGCTACTAATCCGCGGTTCGTCGACTTTATAATCATCGTTCCCCGCTTTCAAATCCTTGGGACAACTTCAGCCCGTCCGAAGGTGAGTTCTATCGTGTTACAAATTTATAGCTTGCTCCGGAGCATTCGAAATGTTCCCCAGGGGTAACTGCTAACGAGAAGCTTGAATTTTATAGTTTTCCTTTTCAATTTGCTTCTGAATCGAGCAGCTGATTGTGGACTATTTTTGAAGTTGGTTATTAAAGCGGAAGCACGATACCCAAGGATGATAAAGTGCTCGAGTTTCTACGGTGTCTTGGAATATTACTAGAAATGGAATTCTTTTTATAGGTCATTCGAAAGAGTTGCTATTTTTTCCCTTTAAAAGTCTTGAATCTTTTTCAATTATTTTTAGGGGTGATTTTATTTATTCTATTAGGGAAATTATGATGATAAAGGAATCGATACGTGTTTCACTGTGCTTCGCAATATTTTTAGATTCGAACATATAAATATGCAATTTGTATTTTTAGAAGGAAGCAAAAATCGTGGTTTAAACATGAATTAGGTAGACCTTTCAGACCTCTCTTTAAAGACAATGAAAATTCAATTCATTCAGATGATAAAGCACGAAGATACCTGTTAATTAATTCTATACCTTGTAATCGCTCAAGAAGTTACACGAAACTTTCGCAACTATCGACAGTTTGTTGTAACTTGTGAATATCACTGCAATTGTAATTTGCCAGCCTCGATGTAACTACATATGTAACAGTTAATTTAACGAGAACATTGAACATGTACACCACAATAATGATAACGACAAACAGCCATAATGCACGGAGATAATTTTCACAGTTACAGTATTATCATACACTGTTTCACTAACTCTGCGAATGATTCTCAGCCTTTTTACGAGCATTGTACGTGCGTGGATACACGTATCGTAAGAAAGAGTCCAGATTCTCAGTGAACGACCACCAAGTGGAGAAGTATGGTTCACATTAATTTCACCGACCTTGAATTGCCGCCTGTTGAAAGTCCGCATACGTTGTAACCAATTTACAGACACGAAGAGATAGAATAATTAAAGAACTGCTTAGCGCGATTTGAATTTCAAAGAAACCGTGAAATTAGATAGAAGATTTATTTATTAAAAAATTCCTTTAGTAAGTCAAAATCGAGGAACAGGCGAAACGCCAAAAATCGAACAATGTTCGCAGAAATTCACGGAATACATTTAATAGGAAATGTTGAACGAACACCGTGTAATGATTGAAAAACAGCATGGTCGCGACGCATGGCCATATTTAGGTTACAATGTGGGTCACAAATTTTTCACCGCGGCGCAAACAGCTCAGTTGTAATCAACGTCGATAAAGCACACACGTTTCCCAAAACCTAGCACAGAACCGTAGGTATCCACGCGAAAATAAATTTTTCCAATCGTGAGGCAAAATAATTGGCTGCGTGCGCCCAGTGATCACGTACACTTCTTTCCTTTTCTCGGAAATGTAGTTTACGACCATTCGAAAGCTATCGCTGGTTAGCATTATCGCGAGAATTTCGTGGCTACTTGCTTACATGACCCATGACCTTCCTTAATCACTGTCCCTGTGTCACGCAGAAATCTTAAGCGAGAACCAATAAAAATAGCGCAATTCGTGGCAATCCGGCGATAAACTACAGAATTTACTCGACGAAGATTTCACGAATTTAAAGAAAACTTTTGAATACGTTTTTTGGAGTTTCATTAAGGTTCGAGTGTCTCTTTGCTAATTACTCGATTTACGTAGAGTAATGGCGAACGGAAACAGGATGCGCATTTCGGTAGTCGAAGTGCATTAGAGCCGCGTTCACCGAGGAGCCGGCTTAAATAATTGTTTCCGCTGCGTCTTAAACGACCGCAGATTGATACGAACCCGTCTCTGTCCACATCAAAGTGCCAGCGTTAATATTCGCCTGTCGTTTATCCCGACACCGTAGGTACAACGTCCCGCGGATTCTCCGGAATTTCAATTCCCGAAGGTCTTTTCTAACGTCGCGATTTTGTTTACCGAACACGTGCTATCCTAACGATCGCTACTTTGCCGTGGAAAGAAAAGAAAAAGCTACCGGACAACGTTGTTTCTCGGAGCGAAGAGATATTTTCAATCATTTTCTCGTTCTTTCTTATCGTTACGTTAACGAGGTTACTCTTTATTATGTTCGATGAAAGAAGCACGTTTGCTTGATTGAACGTTGTAACGAGCGAGTTAATCTGACTTCTCGTGAATGAACTTTTCAAGCAGAGTGGAAATGCAAGGAGGTGAATGTGGAATAATTTTCATTTGCTTCGAATTTACTGGATACGTATGCACTTTCGATATGAAAGAACTGTTATCGTGTCTCGTTAAAGAGACGATGATGTTCATTTTGAAAAGTGAGTTAGATAGTTCTCTATACGAGGTTTGACGAGGTACGGTAATGTCAACGGGACGTTAAGTAGCGCTGTCATTTTCAGTTCGTATTCACACCAATTCGAGGCAATGCTGCATGATGAAAAAATGGGTCAGGTCCATACGAAGAGGGTATACGTAACGTGAACCTTATCACGTACAGATAAAACCCACGAGGGTCGAACGAGTTAGGCTTTCTCTCCCGTTTATCTCTGTGACTCGTAAAGTTTCGAACTATATATACGTATTAGAATCATCGTTACTTTTGTGGTATTGATACACTGTTAAAGGTTGACAGATGTTTCAATGAGAAGAATTTCGAGTTTTGAACGTGTCATCTTTTGTTAACGTGATATTGGGAATTGTATAGGGAGTGCAATCGTGAAGGGGATGACTTACAAATGAATGGAGAATATAGAAGAAAAATTTCGTCTTGAGCAGATTGAATTTGAATATTAGTAACCTTTGTTTTAAAGTAAGTCTTTTATGAAAAATTTTATTTAGAACACCCTGTTTATCTGAAAATATCTATTAGCATGTTTGGAGACCTTCCCTAGCAATCGCTATCATATTTATCAAAACATTTAACTTTCTATTTAACTTGTCTACTATCAACTGCATACTTAGGATATCTCTGGATTGGGAACCAAGGTCTTCCGGGAAAATTCGACAGAAAAATGACGAAAACTCTGTTAGAGAGCATCTAAAGTGCGTGTAAAAGAAAAATTTAGAAAGACAATTTCTATTTTCAAAAAACAAAAAATCGTATATTAATTAACATACCACTGAATTAATTAGAACACAGCAAAACAGCGATAAGAATGATCTGAAAAAACTATACCACCAGAGCAATTCGATCACTGATAATTTATAAGTACTTGTTATTCATTTCTTCCTCGTCATACGCCTTGCAAATCGAATCGTCGCGAGAAGCGCCCGGCGCCACTTTTCCGCTCGCGCTCGGCGCGGGAATAAGATCTGGTGAATGATCTCGATGGTCAACGAACGAGACGCAAAAGATGCAAATTTCTATATACACTCCTCTCACGAAGCTGCATTTCTTTTCTACCAATATTTCAACTATCACACACTAATTGTGCGCGATCGGAGATCAGATTGCGAGACAATTTAGGACTGTGGGATATGATTTAGCAATGAGAAAGTGGTCGCAATAGGAAGGAGAGATCTAACGATAAACCTCTGTCGATAGTAAAGTCGATGTTGGTTAAAGGCTCTAAACGTTTTATCAAGGATCTTGACTTACCTTCTGATAAACGAAGGGCCTAGTCAAGGCTAGCCACCTTTCAGCCGCCATCACAATGGCCACGCAACCACTGAATAATCCGAACAGCCTCCACACCACACGAAGGGAGCAAAATCCTCTCGTCGACATTACGCTGCCCACGTAGATCGTGATGTACATTTGCACCATCATCCCTAACAATGCGACGAGATCGTTGATTGCCAGGCATCGCAGCATCAGCAAGTGTTTTCGATTTCTCCTCTGAAACAATTTATTTCACCTATCAAATAACAATTTGTCACAATTAACCCGTAACTCTTGACCGTTCTGAGAATTTTGCTTAATTTCATTTTGATCGTTCTAGCGGTGCTAATCGTAACTTTATTACCGTTACACGTTTATTCTTTATTTCGACAATTTCACTCGTCACATTTCTGTGTTACTGAAATGTAAGAAAATCTATTCGAAAAATGTTTCCCTTCTCTATTGTGGATCATGGAATGCATGTGTCATAGTAATCAAAATTGCAGCTCTTTTATTCAAACAGATTAATAGAATCTGTTGTGACAATGTGATTGAGTGAGAGAAAAAAGAAGTAACGTCAGCGTTCAGAAGTCAATCGATTATAATAACGCTAATTATCTTATCAGCTTGATTACTAGTATTGTTACCTTGTCACGATGAAAGAGAATGACTAGAGCGGACACGTTGCCGATCACGCCGGTAATATACACAAGTGTGAGGACCATCTGAGAGGCGAAAGTCACGTGTCTCTTTGTCGGATTGAGGGCAAAGTTAGGTAGCATAATGCTCGAATTGAGCGTCGAATTCATCATCGACAACGTTTCGTTCCAAATCTCCATCGAGGTAAGCGACATTTTTTCCGACACTGGTAATAACGGTTCGTAAGAAACGTCGATCGATATTCCGTGTGTGTGTGTGTGTGTGTCGTATCGTAGAAATCGATGAATTTCGTATCAGAACTGTTTCGCAGTCTGTCTCAAGCGGAAGTCTCGAAGACACACGATCAGCGATTCAGAGACCTCATTGTTTCTATGAATCGCGTTCGTTCTCTGATTCACAATCGTCGATCTCGAGCAATTACCGATTCTTCCCGTCTCGCCTATCTCTTTCTCCTATGTAAATTTATCGAGCTACTGAAAAAACATTGACTCTCTCGAGATTTGAAATCGTAAGAGCATTGTTTCACAAATTTCTACGGGTTTCCTCTGTTGATTTTCAACTTCTATCGCGCCAGTTATCACGTATACCTTCGGTACACTATTATCGTATCGCCCTCTTAATTCTTCACCCGGCGCTGTTGCTGTTTCACAAGCAAACGCCTGGGTTCCCTCGGGTTTCTCGTGAAACGTGACAACGTTGTAGCCAGGGCCCTTTTCTAACGCTACCTGCCAGTCCCAGGGCCCTTGTTCAAGTCAGCCTGCAGCAGGCCACCACAGCTGGAGCAACGAATCAACTGGCTGCTGGTTGCTTCGATCGAACAGTGTAATCACTTTCTCAGTGAAAACCTGTTGCTACGCTCGGATCAGTTCTTCTCTTCTCGTCGACCCTTCCACACAGAAAGTACCATTTGAAGATTTTTATCAGTGAATCGAAACGAAGGGACAGAACTGCACACTTGATATATCCTGTTTGAAGTTGCTTCTTAGACCACTTTCTGCCGTTTGTTTCGTCGAGAAGTTAAGAAGAGAATCCACGCGAATCTGTGCGCATTCAACATTGGTTCGTATTAATCGAATATCTTTGGTAGATGGATTTGATCGACTGTCGACGAATATTTCGTGTGCTCGAACAATTCTCTTCGGACCTCGATCACTGAACTTCGATTGGATCAACCGACTTCAGCTCGACACGTTCTTCTCGCCTCTTCCTTGGAAGATATCGTCGGAGAATTAACTGTGCGAACCTACGAGTCGTCCAATCGAGCCTAAAGACGTCGAAGAGGGTGAAAGCGCCTCCACTAACTCCTTTGACCGCGAGAGCCGTCGCCACACTGATCCAAACCACGCGGTCACCTCCAGTTTTGTTTACAATCGATGGGTCCCCTGCCACTGCGCATGCGCGGTATTTTAAAGTCGGCGTCGGTTTGGCGCCACATTTTTGGGACGCTACTGCTCACGAATTTCGCGATTTTTCATCGGTGGAGATTTCGTTTCGGGCGAATTCCGAGTGCGTCGATTTAAGGTGAAAAAGTAAAACACAATTTTCGTCGATTTTTATTTTATCATTAATTAAAATATGCAAATACAAAGGTAGGAGTAAAATAATTTACATTTTGTAATTACTTTCACGAATATTGTTAATATCATACCAGACAAGTTACATTAATCGTCGCACCATATTTACGTATTGTTTACAATATAAATACGTCACGTGACACATATAAGCAAAGCGTTCCCTTTGATAGTCTCGCGCGAATAATTCGCAAGTGCGTAAAATACGCGTTTAACACGTCGAAAGAGGCAGAATTTCGTCGGTATGCAGCTAGTTGATAAATAATGCATGGTACATATACTTTTCGTATACAAGGCGGCACATTTGCCATTCGCATTGATAAATAATTTCAAGCACGACAGCAATAAATACTCGGTGCGTGCGCTAAGTACACATAGTCCTCTCAAGGATGCAGGACACACTGGACAGTGATTCTATCCGAGAATGGTGATGAACTTCGCGCAAGTTAGTCAAGATTTGGTGTGCATCCAAGAAAAGTGACGAAACGATGAACAAATTATTCGTTGCAATATCTCTCGTTCAATTATTTCATCCAAATTTAACGACTAATCTATGCACAAGTAACGCGTTGTACTCGCGTACGAGTCGATAATAGTCACAGATAACGCCGTCATCGCTATTTCTCCCTATTATTAATTCATATGTTAAACGTGTTTCTTTTTTTTTTAATCGCTTTCTTCTCTTGCAGATCTCCGGATACGAGAATTCTATGTGTAGCATTGTACTTGGAGGCAGAGAAAAACGCCAAAGAGTAAAAGAAAAATATCAATAGAAAGCAGGTCGCATGCATATGTGTCGTTGTATAGAGGTCGCCACGAGTTCATCGAATTATCTCGAGGTGAACGAACTATTATGTGCCCGCGAGACGACCAATAATTGATGTCTTTTTTATCCAATTTACCGCCGGCCACCGTACACAAAATTGAAGCTGGGTTAAATATCGCCACGGTATGTCTGAGTAACATAAAGTTCTTTAAATTTCACGCACTTGCTTTTGCAAGATTTCACGCTCTGTGAAGTACAATCCTTCCGCAAGAATTGAAGCTTTCGTTAGATATCGATTACAACGTTCTTCTTGTTAAATTCGACGAAAGTTCAAATAGAGTTCATAGGTTTCCTTCTGTTCTGCGAAAAATGTAGTTTTCTTTTTTTTTTTCAAGAATTTTTGCAACTCTGAATGTAACATAGATGGGCCACAGTTCGGTTTCTTGGTACGGCAAAACGGAATTAATTAAAATGACGGACAGAGGAGGTAGTGTTACGATCATTAACGAGAAGCTTTTTCTTTCTCGTACTATCAACGAAGACCGCCAACGAAACGTAATCGCGTGCTCTTAGAAACTGGCTCGAATGTTATGCAAGGCAATTACACCGATTAAATTGAGCATGCGAAATCATTAAGCAGACACCAACGAGAGAACCGTGAACCTGATTGATTTCCGGTCGGAGGGAGGATTATTCGAATCTTGTTTGACAATTATTTCTTCTATCCCCTTATAATTCTCTGGTATTCTCTACTCTTTCTTATCGTTAAAACAATACTAAATTCGAATGAAACGCTGTATTTTCCCAGCAGAAAATAAGAAACCAAATATTAAAACAATTGGAAGAAATTCTGTCAAATTGATATTTTCGCTTGAAATTTAACGGTAGGAAATATCGACATTCTAAATTTCTGTATCGGTTGGTAAAATTATTACAAAACGTAGCATGCAAAACCTAGAGGCAGATGCAAATAACTGTTCGGAGAGCCAGATGTTCGTGCGAGACAAGGCGTAACTTAAAAGGAACTTTCTGCCTGTTGAATCAGAGTTGCACGAGTCGAATATTACTGTGGGTAGAAATGGATCCAAACGACGCGGGAAAAGTGGCAGGGAACAATTTCAGTAATTATAATCTACGGCCGATACACATGCTTCTTTCTCTCTCTTTCCAGAAGCGGGTTCACCGGTGCTCGTAAAATCAATTGACGGAATAATTGCACGCGTACGGATCCCCGTCGCGACACGACGTCCGTTTCACGTAGTTTCCGACGGTCGTATCCGAAGGAAGGAGGGACGAAAGGGTTAAGTTAAAAGCGTTTCGAATAGACGATGGTTATTTTTCACGACGCGTCGATCACGGGAGAGATGATCTTTGCGAATGCACAGCGTACACCATCCGCATTCGTGCGATAAGGGAATGCAAGGATTGTAACGAAGGCTTATCTTTAGATGGAGAGGCATAAACATACAATGGGTAATACCGAAACTAACGAGGAAATTGATTTAAATAAAGCGAGCTTGATCGGCGCCATTCTTGCATAACGATCGATGCTGCTTTTCGGATACGTGCCACGAATACGTGGTCTTCAATTTTGAAATTCTTCCTGCGAGGTATGCCCAACTTTAAAATGATGGAAGTATGACAGTAGTTTTGTCAGATTTGCAAACAATCGAAGTGCAACTTCGCTGAATCTTTATAATACAAAGGAAGAGATCTCGCGATGATCGTAACGATCTATTGTGTGAGAAATTGGACGAACGTTCGACATAGTTTGGGAAGTAATTCGAAGAGTACGTTGACGATTTTTATTTGATGTTTTAAGAATATCATTTTCATATCGAAAGAAGAGGTTGTAAATTTTGGGGTGGAAAGAATTGGATGACGGTGACCTTTGAACTTTCGGATATAGATGGTAAATTATTATACTTCCCTGAAGTAAGGCTCGGACACTAATAAGCGTGCGACAAGCGAGGGTCAAGAATTATGATTTCACGGTGCGAGACATTTATCTTCCGCGTGTATTATGAAGAAATTGGCTAGTGGCTGTGTGACCGATACGTTTCGACAGAATCGATTAATTTTATAAAATTTGTTGTTGAAAAAATAAGAAAAGTATCCATCCTAAGAAACGGTAATTTTCTATTTTATTAACGAGGGTTTATAAATTACTCAGATAACGCTATTTACGTCCTTATCAATCTAAGATCTGATATACTTCAGGGATAAATATGAAATATATTAAATATTCCTTCTGAACGACGTATAATACCATTGTGAAACTAGGTTCTTCCTGGTTTTTTAGTTATCTGGTGTAATTAATTCGAATTGTAAACCTGATAAAGTATTTATTCTCCACTTTTTCCACGAAATGTACGTACACATCGCACCTTCGCGTTCCCTAAATCAGATTAAAATGAACGATGAGATACTAAAAATTTCTAATGGAGAAAAAGGCTGACAGGAGTAAAATTAGACCACGAATTGATCACTTTACCGATAAAAATCATAACTCTAATTAATTTCTCTTAAATAACTTTTTTTTTATTCTTCTTCTATATTTCTGTCTATTCTCTCATAGAAACTGACGCCAAGTCGTGCTTTATCATTTCAAGAGATCCTCGAATAGGCTATATATAGAAAAATTGAGCTAAAAATTGAGTAATATTATTTCAGAGCTACGAGGAGAAATTGAATTGACAAAGAATAGTTGTAGATTTATTATTAGCATTTGTTTCCTTCATTTCTACAAGGGTTGAAACCTTCTGGAACTGTTTTCAATGAAGATATCTTTTTTTTTTTTTTGATAATGGTATTGAACAATGCTGATTGGTTTCGAATTTTTCAAAATTTTAGAAGATTTTATAATCAACTATCAAACCAATGACAATATAAAAATGGACATGACAAAAATTGATGTAGTGGAACATAAGGTATGTATGGTTAGGTGAATTACCCCTTATACCTAACCTCTATCTGAAATGTTTGAGTTTAATGTGATAAAATGTCATGTGTGTACAATTAGCGTGCAAGAAAGTTCATTTCTATAGCATTATTTTATTATTCAATAATCTTGATTCTTTGGAGATTGTTTCAAACATTTAAACCTATTCTACGCGTATTCCTTTTCAAATAAGTTAATTTTCAGGAAGAAATAGTTGCTGATGATGAGAAAGAATGACAACATGGATTGGTATTGTAGCTGTGTGATAAAAGGCACGTGGAAATTAGATGTAACGATGCAAAATGACTTGGAGCAATGTTTTAAAGGAATATTTATTTTAGATTTCACAAGGCATTAAAGGTATACTCAAGATGGTTCGCTTACCAAGGAGAGACTGAAATATCTGTATATATGTAAAACAGTAGTAAAAAATAAACTGTTTCTAGGTGTCAGCAAGAATGGTAACAGTTGATAAATTGGAGAGTTTATGAAAGCAAAAATGTGAAGGGAATCGTGCAATTTTCTAAATTATGAGAAATATACAGGAGATTAAGAGATAATTCTATTCAGCAATAATATATTTTTCCTACAAAATTTGTAGAAAAATGTAGCATGCAATAAGTAGCATAGTAGTAATAGTAAAATGTCATTATCCAAGCAGATATGTAGAAACATTTATTCTTTTGGTAATTAAAAGTATGCGAGCATAAGAAAAATATGATAATAAAACAAGAAAATAAAACAAACAAACTGTTTTAAAGAAAGAGTATCGCAGTGAATAGATACACTGTCACAAACTTGTCTTTCATGGCATAAATATTCAAAAGTAAAATAATCTATGTTAATTCAACCTTATTAATAATTATACAATTGTCCAATACAATAGAAAATGTGAAATTTACCTTTAGGAGAACTTGCAAGAAGTATTCTTTATAAATTGAAGCTCATTTATTAACACGTTTGTTGCAATACTTTGGTTACATCACAACAATATGAATTTTCTCAGTTAAAGTTTTGTTTTTCTCACTCACATTCAATTACTGTTCAATTTTCTTTAATAAAATTATTAAACGAACACTTTACACGTAAAACTACACTTAATAATACTATTTTCGCGAAATTTTGACGAGACGTGTACGCACAATCCGAACTGAACTGAAGGAAGATGACGCGGGAAAACGCTGTCGACTATCGATATATCGAATCAATCGCGCGGGCCTACGTCATCAATTCAAATTGATTAATTCTTCCGCGTTAAGTTTAAATGAACAATTCGTGATATTATTTATTATATACTACAAAAAATAGTTATTTAAAGAAAAAGATATTTAGAATATTATTTAGAAATTAAGAGAAAGAAATATAGAAATGCAACCATTAAACCTTGACCTACTCCTAGCTTTCTCATGGTCAAGTGCATAATAGTACCTTCTAGCACTAAACACTACCTATTTAAATGAAAGTAGCTGCATTTAACAATACGCATTCTTATAACGTTTACATACTTTTCCTAGTACAAAATAATTATGCTCGAAATAGCATTCGTAATTTGAAGAAATCACGAACATCACAACCATACTTTTTAACACACCTCCGTGAAGTAAAAGGTACGATTTCACTGTAAAATCAGTGCAACGGAATGCACTGTTACGTCACATGACGCACACACTGTACTCGTGCCAGGCAACAATCACAGGTACCTGTAAACAGTTAGATCAATTTTAGTACTGTTAGCGATGTATACAAAATTTTAAAAATAATACACCTCGTTTTATGTGGACATTTCATTCACAACAACATTCTACTTTACAATATTATATCAACTACAAAAATTTTAAATCCTTCTTTTCAAAACTAAACTATTTTCACCAAATTTAATAAAAGTAAAGTCTGCAAATTTGGATACATTGAAAATTAACGAATTTAAATCGTTGTTTTATCAAATATCAAAATTTCTTTCACACGAAACAACGTCCATACTGTCGTCCTACGTACTGCTACAATCACTTTCGAGAAACAAGAAAGAAGGAAATATACTGTCGAGTGTAAATAAGCGTTGTTTATCGAATCTTTGAAAGACCTACTTGAAAAAAACCAGTCGATCTTACTTGCCGGTCGATCAAATCGCTTGGCTCTTGAATGAACGAACGCACGACGATCCCGTTATCGTTTCGTCCGAGTGGGTCACCGACACTTCGACAGGATTTTGCTCGTAGCCGCTTCGATGTGCACGTATCGAACCTGTGCCGTGAACGGGCCGTTCTCGTTGATACTTGGTGGGGCTTTACAGGACCGTCTCACCTTTCTAGGAAATTGTCCGACGCACCTGCACGATTTTTTCCTGAACTTTTACACGAAAAAATTATCAACATCCTAATTTTTCATTTAAAATTTCCCTCAAATTCAAACTACCGTTTGGCATTCATAGAAAGACCAAAAAATCACTCCAAATTAATGAAATGTAATATTGAAAAATTAGCAGAAAAATATTTTTATCTAAAAAATTCAGTCGATGTATTTTGTAAATTTTAATCGACTTGATCGAGTCAGGAGTATCGAAATATCAAGTAAATTTCCCAGATCAAGCGATGCATGAGATATCCACATCTCGATGTACAAGCTTTTACACATATCTAATAAAACATGCAGATTAGCTGCATATGTAACAGAAAGAAACAAAAAGTTGTCCAGGTTGGTGCGAGGAGGAAGAAGAGGGGGATCTTGAAAGTGGAGCCAAGTTTCAGCCGTCCCTGGGAACCAGATGGGGTCTGAAAGTGCCCCGCGTGCTCGCCTTGGTAGAACATATCCACGCAATATTAGTGTTCGCGGGAACGAGTAACCTGTCGTACCTATTTATCTCTCTATCGTGAAGTATCACGTTCACCAGCGACACGTAAGGTCGTTTTCGCGGACGTTGTCTCCTGTAATCATCGTGAACGAGAGTTATTCTCGACCGTCGTCCTCGTCGTTTCGTTCGTGAAAAGATCGTCGACGAAAAGTCTCTTAGGGAACATTTTCAGAAGAATCTCGTCGACTTTCTAAGCTGCTACGTGATAATCAATCCTGGATCGACGAGTATGAAGATCGCCACGACCTTGTTCCTCTTCGTAGTTGTCGGTACGTACACAATTTGTCACTTCTCGTCGGAACGCAGCTTCTGGGATCGATGTGTGCCACTTCTTGATGTTTCGTCGTGAAAAAATTCATTTTTCGTCCATGCAATTGTTTAATAGTATAACGAATAGAACGTAGAATGCGGTTATTCTAGAACTTTTAATCTTAGGACGACGTTTTTTCCCGATGGTTCTTTACCATTGGCATTTCATTTCGTAAGATTTTATACGAAGCACGGAATGTAGTTCGCAAAAGAATTGGGGAAAGTGCGGACGTAACATCGTTCTATAATTGTCACAAAAGTTCGTGGTCCGAACGATCGATCAAGGTTTCTGGCGCGCTAATTTTTAATTGGCATTTCGGTACATGTTTGAACTAGCGGCTGCGTTGTTAAGTGCACAGTTAAGACACTTGGATATTCATGAGTAAACATTCACGATTTTCTGTTCCACTTGTGACACATGGATATCGAAGTGTCGGTGACAAGCCTCGATCTGAAAAGTTTCTGTTCGATAAAATGTATCATAGCGTGTGCAATTTCTTATCACAAATGGTATCTCATTACGACTTACAAACGCCGAAATTGCTTTACGATACGAGGCTTATATATACGTAGATTGTATCTCTGTGATATTTTTTATTATTTAATAATCTTTCGATATTCAGCAACCAGTTTCCAACGTAGAAATCGTCGAGTTATCGTGAATTTGATAATACTTAACAATCGGAAATAAATTTCTTTTCGATCTTTCTATCGCTCTGTGTGAAGCAATAGCGATTGGAAACTGGTTTCCAGGGTATCATACGATAGTTCTATCTGGGTAACTTACAGGTTTTTGGGCCTTTTTCCATCATTCACGCTTTGTATCAAAGCATTTCGTATTCTGTGCTATCGATCCCAGACTTACCTCGACTGACCGCACTGTTCTACACGATCTTACTTGCTGAAAACTTCCCCCTATCACTAGATCTTACTATTACCGGACTTCACTGCTCGATCTTCAAATAATCGTCTTTCTTGCGATACTAATGGCCTAAGTCTTCTCTTCAAGGGTGAACGCTGCATTCTTCTCACTGTAGCGCAGTGAACTTTGTAAATACAACTGTGTGTAGCGAAGACTGTGGGAAGATGTTACGTTTCTAACCGTACTACCTTGCTCCACGAGTTCTTCGTGGGTCAGGAAAAGTAATTTTCGATCATTTTACGGTTTTCTTCGCGATGACCTAAGCGTGACCAGTATACGTTTTGCATTGCACCGCTGTGTTACTGTATTACGGATGCGATGTTCTGCTCACCTGATGAAACTTCTGTTAAAGAAACTCCGGGAATCCGTACTTTCAAAAATTTTACATCGAAATTCTTGAATTGTCTCTAAATAAATTTCACACCGATTCGTCTCGAAATTAAAAAAAAGTCTACGAATAAAATATCAGAGAGCGTTATAATTCTTTCCTTTTTAATTCATTCATTCCACGTTGTATAATACAGAGGTAAAAGTCGCAAAAAATCCTATTAAAGACATATACCACACAAATGTACATAATTATGTAAATAAATTACAACACAACAGGTATTAAATCCCCCCCAAAAAACGGTTTATCTCAAGCAGATGAGGTGATTACAAATTTTTCACTGTTAATCACCGATATCCTCTCTCGCGATAATCGCCGTCTTCAACAGGCAGCAACTTTTATCGCGCTCTACATGTTTATTCCTCTCGAATTCGCTCATCTCCGGGCGTTTACGTCCCCGTGAAGCGAACGTTTCCCGTAAAACGCCGACCGGCCGGAGCAAATAGCGTGTAACGAGGTGCAATAACACGTGGAACGAGCGCGTCTGGACGTGGAGCGGAATCGTCGAATAGAAAAAGTAACAGTAAAGTCGATCGTACGCATCGGCGCGAGCTAGAAAGTGCAAAAGCATCGGTTTTCATTGCTGAAAATATCGATAGCGGAGAAATAGAACGGACCCGCGACGAAAGTAAGCAATTGCAACTTGTTCCTACGGTGAATTACCAGGCGGCACGATCGAGAAAGGATGATTGAAATCGAACTGGCGAACGTCATCCGGTAATTACATATTTTCGAACTATCGAACACAATTCGCTTCGTGTAATGTCGCGGGGGTATAATAGAGAGATGTGCGTTATATAGGTCGTGGAAAACTCTTACCCCTGTTACGAGACTTTTTCGTCGCTTGGCGTGTGTAACGTATTCGTCATTATCGTGTCAATTCGAACATGACGCGTAACGTTCGCCGTGATCCCGGTGAAACTTTCCCGGTGTATTTATCGAAAGAATAACTTTCACGTCGCGATAAGGCGATAATTAGCTGGCTCGGTGATAAAGATGCAATTGCGAGTGTTTTATTTGGACGCGAAATAACGGATCTCTGAGAGATAGGTGTTCCTCGATCACTAGTTCGCTTTCAACGGAGAGAAATTTTTAGTAAAGATTGCACACCGCTGGTATAGTGCGTAACCGATGATAAAGTAAAAAGATAAAATCGTCCCACTGAGAGCGAGGTTCTGTGGGACGTCGATCGCTCGAATCTGATCACTAGGTTTTGGACAGCCGGTGTTATTTGGGGAATCGGGTCAGCAACGTGTCTATGCGGACGTTTTATTTCTGACTGGTCACTTTCTACGAAGCCCTGACCACTCACGATATACTCTTTCCAGCGCTTCTGTTCCGGCGATCTTCAGATTTTCTGTCAGAATTTTCTTGTCGCTGCAGCATTGAAACTCTTGACGTCGAAGTTGAGCTGTTCAATCTTCAAGTGAAAATTTCTCCTCGAATAAGAGACACACCTTGCTTAGTATTTTCTACACGTCTGAGATTGATCGAGCGAAATCGATTTAAATGCAATTTAAATTTAGATTACTCCTTTAAAATTCGAATTTTCGTGTACTTTTCTTCAATTGGAAAATTTTCAATTTGCATCGAATCAAGCAGGTTCGTTTGACGTAAAAAAGAAATCAAATGCGAGGTCCCAAATGTTTCCATTTTGTGTCGAAATTTTGATACAACGCGCGATTTCGAAATGGACGAAAATTCGGTGAGCGTTAGTTCGCGAATGGTTGGTGAACCAAGACTCGAGTGGCAACTTCGAAGGTGTGCTAGTCTCAAGGTAAAGGTAAAGGCCGCGTTCGTGGGAAAGTGTTGCACGAGTTTGTTCCTCGGCTAACGTTCCGTTGTTCCACGTTTAATCGGGAACCTAGACGAAGAAAAGTGAATTCTGCTTTAATTCACAACGGGGAACGCTTTGTTTCTGTACAATTATCTCGTGACTCGGGACAATCTCGAGATGAACAGTGAAAGTATCCTTGAGATTCGTCCCGTAAAAGTCATCGTCCTCGATCCTAACACCGGTTAGAGGCTGGAACCGGAGCCTGTTCCTTAAAACAGATCGCGTTCTTGAGAACGAAATGCGATCCTCCGAACGAACGTTCGCCGAATTTTTAAGTGGATATTCTATTATGTAAATTCGTAAAACGAAGTGTAATTTCTGTAAATATATGTTGCATAAGGTTGACGACAATCTTGTTAGATTTTACTACACTTCGATTAATCATCTCTTCTATGCTTCGGCTGTTCGTTTTGTGTTAATTGATATTAGAAAGCAGTTTACCTGTTAATTTGCGAATTTCTTATTTGTTTTACATTTCGTGCCTTAACGAATTGATCGACGTGCACGCGATTTCTTATTACAGATGAGATTTCGAAGAAATCAGGATACAGCTAATTTAGAAGTCAGAAATACGACGGGTTGACACAGTAACAAAATTTCTACTCTGGGATTACCTCTTCTCTCGCCTTTTCTTGCAAGATACTCTGTATACGATTGTTTCATCGATATCTTCGTATAATTAATGTTACTCGATAATTTTATTCGCGAGGTAATTGAACGTGTTTAACGAGATAATTTTAGGAGTGCACGCAAATCTCTTTTCTTTTTCCTTTTCATTTTACTAGGTAAATAGGTATGAAATAAAAAAGTGTAAAATTGTCCTCTGCAATCTTGCTTATTATGTGCCATTCTTCGCAAGGCGAATCTGTGTCTTTATTCTTCGGTAACTCGGCCATCGGGCAGGCTTGAACTCCTCCGAGTTGAGCTTTCTCATTCGGAAATTTCACTATGTTCCAACATGCGTAACATAATTTCTTCCGTCGGCTTCTTTCGTCACACAGAAGCGCACCATTCGGCTATTGCCCGCTAAAATAACATTTCGCAACGTCCAAACTGTTGCAAATTACCTCTTCAGTTTTCGGATACTGCTAAACGTCGAATTTCGTCACTTTCTCTCGCTATACCCAGTCCTACAATCGCCCACTTTTTTACGTTATTATGAAACGTTACGACGAATCGCTAAATGTTCAAATATGTCAACGTGTGTTCTTTGCCTTTGTAACATGTGGCAAAATAGGGGCACAAGTGAAGAAAAAATGCAGGCCAAGGATAATAGAAGAAAAAATCTAATTACATTTTTGCAATTACTTTGCAATCGTTGTGTTCGTAATATCGTTGTGTAACACTGAACATCCGGTACAACGGTGAAATAACAAAATCTTGATTATTCGGAGCGTGAAGGAAATTTGTCGAAGTAAAGAAAGATCGGACGAAATTGGAATGAAAGGAAGGAATTGCTCGGTTATTAATCGGTGAATACTGTTCTCGTCGTTAAATTGCTCCACAAAATCGTCGCGATGTCGTAAGTTTTCTTTCTCTCTTATGGTCCAAAGGATGGCATCGCGGAAACTGTTGAAACGAGGAACTGTTTTTTGAAGTATGGAGAACCGACCTGCTCGGTCGACTTGGTCGAAAGGTTGACTCGACTTTTCAAGTGGGTCAGTAGGCTATGGCCCAATGGCACGCCTAAGATCCGGCAAATATTCTCTCAACACGAATTCCGGAAGTATATACCTTTCACAGGCTTTAGGACATTCCTTGGAAAGTTTTGGTAGGAAGTATGGAAGTGGAGAAAAATGAATAAGAACAGCAGTCAATTGGTGGATTTTTCTTTTTATTGCTTTCGTTTGAATTGCAAATTTTTGATTAATTCTTAAGATACAGTGATTGCTCTCGTATGTAGGAAAGGTGTAAAATTTTTAGCATAGAAAGGGTAAACTCTCTTTGAGTTCTCCTCGACGTTTTTATTCTACTGTACATCCTAAAAATTCTTATTATTTCTCGATGCTTGAAACTTTTTAATCGAAAATTTCGATATGGTGCAAATTTAACGGGGAATCTTCAGAATATACGAGGTTTAACGAATTGCCTTGGTAAAAAATAAAAGAAGGGAAGATTATTTAGGTTTATATGTCATAATAAAATACAAAATTAAGAGATTTATTGAAATTAAGAAATTTCAAATTTTACGAAAGTTCAACACGTATAAAACTGAAACTGGACCTAAACGATCGTGTCAATTTCATCGAGGTTGCTGTACTCCATCTGACTTTCATTACATTCGACCAGGCGATCGTTCGTGATACTGTGACGCTCACGGACGAGGATCAATAGCACAGATTCGGAATCATGTATCAACGCCCAGAATCCGAATTTATAGAAATCTCGTTCCCATCGATTTCAAAGAGCGACTCTCGCGTTGACGGTTAGTCAATCGTGATCGTCCTCGATTAAATCCCTGTTAACTGATCCAACTCGGAATAATAAAAAGTACATAACTTTCCATCGTAATGGAGCTTCGACGAGATGAACTGGACGTTTCTATCCAAAAAAAAAATCCGGTTTAATATGGATAAACTTTCTCGGAGGATTACCTTGTTGCATCTAAAAATACGTCTCGAATCTCCATTTCAATCGTAACATTCTTTTACAATTTTCTTTTTGAAAACTTTCAATTTTCAATGAAACAACAAGTTGCAAAAACTGAACGAGTAAAATGTTAAATTTTGCCGAGTATCATTTTCCAGTGAAATTGTTCGAATAAATTACAAATTACGACAGAAACGAATCAGCTGGTTAGAATGAATTACGATGGAAACGGAAACTGAACGGTTGGATTGGAACAGGGATGCATGGTGTTCTTCTCTTCCGGTTTGGTTGCAGGATGCACGTGGCGGGAGACACTAGGGACATGCGTGTTTCAGTCGGACTTTGGTTTCGCGCTAAACTGCGCCTTCAAAAAGTCTGGCCTCTTTCGAGTACGAAATCTTGGAGGTGTCAAAGGCTACGTCGGCCTGGGTGAGTCGAAACAAGTATCGATGCAAACGGTCCAAACATTTTTCACCGATGAATCTTTCTAAAAACCGTCGGCGTTCTAGAAATTCATCTTTTCTCTTTCTCGAGAGAAAATTTCATTTTTCTCGCGCCGTTTTGTAATTGATTAATTATAAATACACTGTATATATGTTCTATAGTACTAACAACAATTAATTCGTTAATTATGTAACACATACTTCTCTACTATGCTAACTATCGACGAAGTTGCAAGTATAAAAGAGGAAGTATTGCTTTTTTATCACTTTTTTTCTAACGAAATGTGTACTAATGCTTAAAAGGGTGCTATGTGGTTAATTGATTGTTTTCAGTGAGTGATGAGCTGGTTATGAGTTATGAGTATTGAAACGATCCATCGAAATATGTACAGTCAGTTATGGATTCTTGAAGGATTTATTAATAACACACTTTCTATTGCTGTCTGTATGTATTATTTGACGAACTGATACCGTCGAACATCGGAACAGAACTTTTCCTTGAAAAAGCAAAAAGCAATTGAGTTATGTGTCGTTGCATGTAACTGATCTTACGTAAGATCTGAGGTATTGAACATTTTCACACGTACTACGAGCGACCTATTCTTTGCAAAAGAAGAAAATGTAAATGGTTTTACAGCGTTTACGGTGCAGAAATTTTTTCTGTGTCTTGCGTATTACTGTGTCCATAAAAGATAGCAGCGAAGCGAAGAACGTTGAGAGTTTTAAATTTTGGATATTTAACGATAATACGAGAAACGAATCGTCTTTTATAATACATAGATCACTATGAAAATTTGATTGCACGAAGATTGCACAATGTTAATTCTGACATTGATATTTTAATTTAAAAAATTTTTCACATTTGCAAATATGCAATTTCCTGTAATTCTAAGTGATTCACGGTAAATTTCACAAATTTCAAATGCAAAGCAGCATAATTAAATAATTCTCGTTCACTTGTAACATCGACGTCTACTTTGCGAAAGGAAATCCATTTCCTTCGCGAAGAAGCAATACAGAAAGTGAATCATCGCTTCTGGCAGATTCTAATTAATCCTAATCTTTCGGAAAATAAGAGAAAACATCGTTAAAAATAAAATGATTAGTTTTTTCTATGATAACTATACTAATAATAGAATTCGACTATTTCTTACACCAAACGATAGATTCCTTTTGTAATTAGCAAGATTCGTTCCGATCTAAAAATGTTCAGAAATGGAAATGACCGATTTTTACGCTAAATCGTGCTGAACGTGCGTGAAATGACCGATAACTTTCTGCCGGAGGAAAATGTCTCTTCTTAACCTACTTCCATCACGCTTTGGCGAATACGAACGGAGGAAGGTGGTCGATGAGAAAAAAAGAGCGATTGATTATTCATCGCCTTGACCCGTCCCAGATGTCAGTGACAGTCACGTAAAAGATGACACCTCTAATGAACACGTAATTTGCATTAGAAGCGCTGAAAGGATCAAAGAAATCTCTCCATAAAAACGCGCCGCTATTCTCGCGTTTACAGAACAGTGTAAAAAGCGGTGTTGGTTGTTGCGCAATACCTTGGTTGCTTAACTTTCTTCGGTTCAGATGTTCCTTCGAGCCTTCTTCTTCTAGATCTAGTTTCCCGCCCTTTTCGAGCAGCGACACTTTGGTACTTGTATGATTGAAAACACGATCTTCTCAGAAAGAAGAGACAAATTTCTTCGATATTAAGAATTTACTCGAAAAGCAATTATTTTTAAAAAATTTCGATAATTATCTGGAATGAATGAAAGAAAATTCCAAGTTCGAAAATTGAATAATTTTAGCGACGAAGTTTTCTTCGCAAGAGTGAACGGTGTTTGCTTCAATTGTTAATTATTAACGTATTAGAAATTAGACGAATGTCTTAAAATGAGTGTGTAATGTAAATTCATCGTGATTGGTTTAAAATGAATATCGTTATTATTAATTTCAGGGTTTTCCGTTGGTGACGAACTCGGATTTGGCCAATCCCTGTCCAATGTCGAGGCATCGAAAAGAAGAAGCGTACAGGCTGGTAGAGGTGGACTTCCATCTTACACTAACACGGTAAAAATATGTAAATATTTAAAAAAAAATGAATTCTACGTTTAGACGAATGATATCATAGCTCTTTTTTTCTCTCTGAATTTTTATCGAATCGATGTTCAACACGCATGACTATGCATGCATCTGTATAAACTAGTTCAAGGAAAGTCTAAGATGGATAAGAGGATGATATATAGTTGTCAGAAGCATTCCATCGTGATTCCCGCAATGCCAAGATGTTCCCCTTTGTTTCTTCACCGTGTTAATTGCGCACATTCCGGCTGAATCTGTGGAATACTATGCTTCACACTGTTTCTCTTGCGTAATCGTGGACTACATCTTGCTTGTGCATTTTCATTAGGGTTACGCGTGCAATTAAGCCGCTCTTTTGTGCATAGAAGGGCTGGAAAGTGCAACTTTTCTGAAGTAACTTTGTGGAAGAATACTTGGAAGATTACTTTTATCCTGAAGAATTGACTTGAAGTCAAAGTTAGAAGTTACTTAATTCGTATAATTTTGTTTCTACGTTACTTTCCTTCAGTTGGAAACTTTTCAATTTCCATCGAGTCAAACAGGTTTGTTTCCTATTATTGTTAGAGTACCCCGATCGTATCTGAGTACACGCGTTCGGCCTTGTCGTAATTAGTGCGTGAATGTCGATAGAACTCTTTTCCCGTACAGCTTTCTGTAACAATAACAGGGCCTAGTGCAAGGTTCGCGTTCTAACAGTAATGCACACGAGGCCTGTATTGAAATCTCGTAGAGATGTAAAAATGAAAGATGCATGAATTAGGACAAGGCTTCAGGACGTTGCTTGTATTTCAATGTTACTAAGTTCAGAGTGTTAATTATGTTAAGTGTGCAATTTGTATAATAGAAGTTGCTTCAGTTGAATATTGCAAAATTAATGTCGCTTTTTCTGCTGATTTGTATTTTCATGAGGAACTGTATCCATTGTGTGCACGGAGTAGCTTTTGTTCTTCTCGAACGAACGAGCTTTCGACACTTGCACACCATCGTAAATTTGAAGGGAATATAATTGAAGAGAAAATAAATAAATTTGAGGGAAAAATAATTGAAGTGAAAACAAATAAATTTGAAGGGAAAAATAATCGAAGAGAGAATAAATAAATTTGAAGGGTAAAATAGATCGAAGAGAGAATAAATAAATTTGATGGGAAACAAAGTGACAAATAAATTTTAAGAGAAAATAATTAAAAGATCGAAGACTTTAAGATCACTTCTAATTAAAAAAAAAATATTCTGAAACGTAATTAATAATTTTCTTAAGGCTACCAGTCGAGATGATGTCAGGCAACAAACACAAAACACCCGACAAACCGCGGTGGTTCCTCCTTTCAAACCTCTGCCACCTGGAGCAGCTCGGCCAATAGCTCAACAGCCAGAACGCCAAAAATTGGTTGTGCAGCAGAACTCAACAGCTCTCAGAACCATCCCAGCACCTTCCTTATCAACGACGCAACAAGACCTGCTGAGGCAACAGCAATTAATGCAACAGGAAGCAAAACAGAAGCAGCAACTACGATTGCAACAAGAAGCTTTGGCGTTGCAAGTATTAAAGCAACAGAGGCTACAGCAACAGGAAGCTATGAGACAGCAACAACTTCAGAAACTTCAACAACAACAACAACAGCAGAAACAGCAACAGATCAGCAAGAGGCATCAACAAATTGTTCCAATGCAAGTAAAGAGGGATCAGGTAATTTTGTTACTTGGTACTATCTCACAGTATTCATTTTTTAAGTTGTTCAAGCAATTATTCAGGTGTCGTTGTGGCAATATTTGCCTACAAAAATGTTTCTTCGTCGTAAAATTCGTGCCACAGACACCACAGATGGTCGCAGTCGCAGCTGCAGTCCCAGGAAAGCTGCCCAACATAGTGGCTGCAATTCCACCAGCTAGCAGTATCGTGGAACCAGAATCTTCGATGAAACCGATATCTTCGAATGACGGTTTACCGCCCTTCATCTCGATGCCACCGTCGTCTGCACAGTTGACTGATCGAATTAGCAACAGCCCTACTATTCTCGAGGATGCTGATAACGAAGTGTCCAAAGACGATTTCAATCAGGTAAAATTACTTCATCATCACTTTCTTAAATTTTTCGTCCTTGCAAATCTGTACTAATTAATTCTAGGATAAATTACCAATTAATGTCCTTGAAAAATTTTTGCAAATTTTTTTCCTTATTTCAGTATATCTTTTTTTGTGAACTTTCAAACGTGTGTTTGTGATTTTTACGAATTTCTAGCTGCCTTTACCTGGAGACGAGGCTGCTTCTTCCGTGAACGAGATGACCTTACTTTCCCTCCATCCAATGTCAGGCGAATCGAGTCAATCGCAACAGCAAAACGAGAAGAGACAGTCTTTGCCGGCAACCTTGCCATCATTGGCGCCTATTCACGGTATGGAGACGTCGCTGAAAGCTCTGGCTGAAGCTAGCAATATCACTCTCGAAGCTCTGGAGGCAGCTATACTTGTCAGACAGCAGCAGCTTCTACGAAAGCAGCAAGGACCAACGAGCACGAGCACAAGCACCACGACAACTGCATCTCCTCATAAAACGTAATATAAAAACGTCGTTATTCCTTGTGCATTCTAATCGATTTAACTTCCGTTCGAACTGGAGCAGTTTAAATTCTTGCGACTGATAAATTTCGTTCTCCAACATTTGTTTAGTAAATACAGTTCTGGAGCGACTAAAGTGATGAACGCACCTCGTGAATATTATCCGATGGGTTACGACAAGAACTTCGACGACAATTTTGCCAGTCGCGTGGATCTTCCTGACACGAGCTTTTACTGTGGCGATCAGAAGCATTTTCCAGGACTCTATGCCGACGAGGATCTAGGGTGCATGGTAAACTATCATTTCTTACGGCATGATAAAGAGAAAACGAGCTGATTGAGAATTGGAAATTTAGATTTGCCGATTGACATATTTTCTTTTCTTTTTTTTTTATCAACGATTAGGTGTTTCACGTCTGTGCTCTAACAGACGACGGGCTGATCATGAAGAGCTTCCTTTGTCCCGAATCGACTCTGTTCGATCAGACGATTCTGAAATGTAACTGGTGGTTCTACGTGGATTGCAAATCTTCGAAGGGCCTGTACGATAGCAATATTCCAATTAGCAAAAGTTATCAGTTGATGAAGGCTCTTGCGTTCTTCTCGGCGTACAAAAACCACGACAATAGTACAACTGGTGCTCAGGAGAGCTCAGAAATCGAGAGCTCTTGAATGTATTCACACGAGAACTGAATCTTTATCGTTAGTTTAATAGTTGGGCATCCTTTGTACCTTTTAATCGGTTCTACGATTACCAGTTAATGTTCCTTTAATCCATTAAGTCTTGGATTATTTTAAATTAGCCTGTTTATTTATTCTAATATCGAGCTACTTTTTAATTAGTCCACGCAATCGTAACGGGTACTTCAACGTAGTGAATAACTCTTGTTCTTGTAATTTTCTTAACTTTTTTTCTTTATTTGAAAATGTAGCCTTAATGGATTAAAACGAACTCCCTTGAGAACACATAAGACGAGGGATATGAAACTTCGGAAATTGCTCGTTTAGTGGTGTGACAATATCTCTCGACAGCCACTGCCGCCATTATCCCAAATAACAAGTGTGTATATATAATTTATTGCATTAGGATGTAATAGGCGTAGTGAGTAATTCTCCTATCGTAATGTTGTAAATAATTTTATAACGGTCTATTAGTTGATGTGGCTTGTTTAATAATAATTCTATTTTCCTGTACGTGTAGATATATTCCTTTTCGTATTTTAAGTTCTGAATTTTGCTAGTTAATTCTTCAGTGAAACGAAAAAAAGATAAAATAACGGTGGAATAACGAAACAGAAGGAAAGTATAGAAAGCATAAACTTTATTATGGCGAATAAGGATTACGAAAAATAATACAAATTAAATGCCAATGTTGCCTTATTACAATTTTACACGATCAGTCTATAATTCCTCGTCGACGATTTTTTCGAAAAAAAAAAAGAATAATTTCCATGATGTCCGATCGAAGCTTCGAACAATTTCTTTTCTCCCTATAATCTACAGACAAATTCGTCATAAATATCTCTCTCTATATATATATATATACTCGTTAATACCATGATTTCTATAAAATTAACGTTAACAGCTACGTAATTCGATAAATAATTCACCTTCGAAACATTACAAAACGTTATAATTTATTATTGATTATGAAAGGTTCAACACGTCCTCGATATTGTTTGTTCGTATACACAATACTTCTAAAAGAACAAAAATTCTCCTACCGTACACTTTTGTCTCTTCGTAGAGTATCGGTTATCGTTTTAATATAGAAAACGTCAGGTTAATAAATTCTATCAGGCAGTGCTCTGGGGTAAGTAAATCTACAGCGACACGTATTATACTTTTTGTTTACCTTCGACGATTCAGTCGCCAGTTCTAACCGTTCGTCGAATTGTTTACATTTACATTAGCTTATAAGCTTGGTCGGTCATGACAGAGAAAATCATTCGAGATATTGCTTCGCTTTGGAACACGATTGGCAGCATTGCTGTTGGTAAAATAGAGTATTGCAGATTCGAGCTTGCGCCACCAAGTTGCAGTGTGCTATTCTGTCTTTGCAAAGTGGATTCTCCTCGAGGACTAAAAATCACAGCGTGACAATAGATACAATTCAAGAGAAGAAAAATAGAATTACCGTAAAAATTCAAATACCATTTGAGATTTCTGGATCGTTTTGAACTTGCAGTACCGAATGATGAGTTTCAGTTCTGTGCACATCCTCTTTGCAAGGATAATCGTTGCAATTTCGTCGGGATATCGGACGATCCTTGTCCTTGCAATGGAGCTCGTGATGCTCAGGTATCTGTCCCTCTCTGTTCAAACACCTCACTTCTCTTTTTTGAACGCCCTTTCCGCATGATCGAGAACACTAAAGCGATCGAGGAGCAAATTTAAGTTTGTACATTCGGTTTTTCAATTATGCTGATTTTTTCTCTTGCTTCCTCTAATCGTGAAAAATTTCAAATTTATGTTTGAGAGCTTTGTAATGTAGATAAATTAGTAAACATACTTCTGTCCAATCTGATATGAACCACTTGGATGCACAAGGTGGACCGCTGCAAGATCTCCTCATTTCCGGTTTGTTCGCGGGGCAATTCATGTCCAAAACTACGCGAAGGGAGCCACGAAGTGTCGTTACGCACACAACTTCTCTAACTTGCTCTCCTGAATCGCACTCTGTGGAGCACTAAATGAAAAACGATAATGTTTATTTTTTTAAGAAAACATTTTATGGCAACGATGAAAGTAGGTTATTTCACTTAGTTCGTTCTTTATTTGTTATTTAAATGTACCTCGGTCCAAGGTCCTGTGAACCATTGTCCACTACAGGTTCTGTTGCTGGAACAGGTTCTCGATGTTTCAGGTCGAGTTGTCTGATCGCAAAATTCTTCTTCCGGCCCCTTGTCGCACGAGACTTTTCTCGTTTGCATGCCAACTCCACATTCGGCTGAACACTGAGACGAAATTTTTCGAATATATCGTATTCTATCGTAGTAATGTTTTCTATCGTAGAAATTTTGTTACCCCGTCGGACCATTCTGTGTACAGCCATTCTGGACCCTGTGATCTCGTTGAAATCGCGTTTATCTGCGACTGTTTGGTGAAACACGAACCTAAATCACAAGCTTCTTGAGTAGTGGGCTTTTCTTCGTGGTCGCAAGGTGGTCCTTGTGTAACGCAGTTCGCTGATCTTGTTCTTCTACCTGGACCACAAGTCGTGGAGCACTTTAAAGTAAAGAGAAGAAATTGAAAAGGTGAAAATATAAATATTCGGCATTTCAGTGACAAATTCTATTTTTCCTTTGTCATTTCTAGAAATTGTTTGATGTAACATAGACCTTTTTTTCAATTACAAAGTTACGAAACTGTGAAAATTAAATTTTTCGGAAAAGGAGAAAACCACTTTGCCAATTAACGTAAAATTACTTTTGTGCTGACTTTGTCCAGTAATTATACAACGCAGCACTATACACCTACGCAACTTCACCACATTGTACGTTGCTGACAAACAAATGAAATCACGCGTTTATCTTAGATTCGTAAAAATTGCAATTTCACAATTTTACGAACGACGGTACGTTTAAAATAAGTGTAAAGAAAACACTCACCGTAGACCATATGCCCACGCTCCATTGTGGAGGCGGTAATGTCGTTGAAATTATTGTCGCCTCGAATTCACACGCTGGCATTTCGCAAACCTCGTTAGTGGGAAGAATTTTTGGTTCCATGCAGGCGCCATCAGATATTCTCATTACCAGCGATGGCGTTATTTCTTGCACGCATTCTAACTCTCTGACGCGTGTACCGCTACCGCAAGTAACTGAACAATCGCTCCATGAACCTGCTCTCCATCTTCGAGACATTGGAAATTTTAATGTAGTTTAAAATTCGAAATTATGCAAATTTGCGTGAACCTTAGAATGTCAGTTTTCATTTGGATTCTTAAGGGAAGCAGAGTTAACTTTAGATATCAATGCGTGGCCACCTGAGAGCTTTTTACGATCATATTTCTCGAGAGTATGTACTCTCAAACTAATTCAACTCTCGAGAGCAACTCGTGACAGTTTCACTCTTAAATTAATTCAACTCTCGAGAGCAACTCGCAACAGTTTCACTCTCAAACTAATTCAACTCTCGAGAACAACTCGCGATAGTTTCACTTTCAAACTGATTCAACTCTCGAGAGCAACTCGCGACAGTTTCACTCTTAAATTAATTCAACTCTCGAGAGCAACTCGCGATAGTTTCACTCTCAAACTAATTCAACTCTCGAGAACAACTCGCGATAGTTTCACTCTCAAACTAATTCAACTCTCGAGAGCAACTCGCGACAGTTTCACTCTCAAACTAATTCAACTCTCTAGAGCAACTCGCGACAGTTCACTCTCAAATGGACACGTACCCTTAATTTTCCAAAATTTCCAAAGACAGTTCACTCTCAAATTAATTCAACTCTCGAGAGCAACTCGCGACAGTTCACTCTCAAATGGACACGTACCCTTAATTTTCCAAAATTTCCAAAATGGAATATAAAATATGAAAGAAATTTTTTACAAGAAAATAATGAAAATACTAATTTTGCTTACTTTGGTGGACAAGGTGTAGTGTTGCACCGTACTTGAGATTCTCGCGGTTTTTCCAATGTGTGACACCTCTTATCAGGCACTTGTGTTTGCGTGTGCTCTCTGATACACGCGTATCGCAGCATCTGAAAACCTTTTTTTAAAAGAAGATGAACAGAGATAATAGAAGAACATTTACTTCGTACATTTGCATAATCATTAGAAAAATTTCTTTACCTCCGCCACATGATCTGCTACACTCTGTGTAACCACTTGCCTTCCAAAAGAATTTCCTTTTCTTGTAGCGTCTTGGAAGGTACGGTTGCGTTGCATCGTTGGTGCTAGGACCAGATTCTATTCTAAAAGATTATAAATTCATTTTCATATATCTCCTATCTGTGAAACGTATTGAAATATCCTATTAACAAATCTTTCTACATTCTTACTTTCTGTGGGGAATAGTCGACAAAGTGGGTTCACCAGGTTTGTTAGAAACTGAAATTAAAAATTAATTTTTACACCGTCAAATTTCACATGTTAAATAATTAAATTACCGTGATTTTTCTATATTATCAATTTTCATTCTATCCTGGAAAATCCTTTCTTACCTGGTTTATGTCCAAGGTGCGTGTTCGGAGAAACGCTCACGCTCCCAGGAATGATGTATCGATAAACAATTCCAGGATTCGGTTCTTGGTACAAAACCTGACACCGAAAATAACAATATTCCCCATCGTAATTTCCCTCTTCCAAAAACTACAATTCACTTACCATAACATCGATCGATTCTTGCAACGGTCCAACAGCAGAGAAGCTTTCCAAGTTCTGCGAGCCTTGCCGAAAGTACACAAAAGTCGTACCAGCTGCTTGGTACTTACCCGACAAGTTAATTGTATAATTTCCATTGAATATGTAAGAACCGTCTTGCAACTTGATCGCTAAAAGAAGAAAAAAACACTGACATAAAAATTCAGCGACATAGAAATATTGATTGCAGCAATTAAAAATCAATTTTCCAGCCACCACTTATCCGAACAACCACAGTGGAAGATTGTATTCTCGATAAAACGAGGGACTAGAATTACGCGCGCAGCTCGTGAGAAAATTGATTTTCTCAGAACGAGCATTTTTTCCCCTCTCGGAGACTGAAGTGTAACACGTTCGCGAGATGAAATTGTGGAAGGCATTTAAGATCCGAGCGATTCAGCTGGTCGTGTTGATAATTGTTTCGCGCACTTGTCATGCGTTCAGAGATAAATCGCACGATCATTCGGGTAATGAAACTAAGAGTCATTCACGGCGCCTGCGTGTGTGAGAGATGCCGATTCGTGGCCGCAGTGTGTACGCGATACGATACATTAGAAATATAGACGAGTCATTTAGTGAATGACGGTGCCGCGAGTATGCTACCCGCTGCGTGTCTTTCAACTCTCTTCAAGCTTGGTTAAACGAACTATTAAGTTGATATTTGCAGTCACTGCCAATTGATTTCTTTCTTTTTCTGAACTAAACACGGCACGACCTATTTTACGACGATAATTAGAATTAGATTTTTGAAAATTTGCGCAGCGTAATATCGGACTATGTTTAGAACAGAAAATTATAGTTTGCTACTATAGTTTAGTGGTTAGAAATGATTTATTACACAGTTCTACCTGTTTTTGAACAAGATTTTTCACGGAGATTGTGCGTCGTTAATTATCGCAATAAGCGTGTCGTAGGACGTTTGATATACATTTCTTTCCAATTATTTCGAACTCTAATTCGAGGTGTATGTTTCCAGTTAATTAGATATTTACAACTAAATGACCAACCACCTGACTTTAATGACGGGATAATAAAATGTGCGAACCTGTTGCGAATTACGTATGCAATTGCGAAATGAACGTGGAGAATTTGTATTAAAGCAGTAATTAATCATGTCGTTATATCTTCTGTTCGTTTCGCATTATTTCACACCTACCTGGTCGTCTTTTTTCTTTTCGAGGTGCGAAGAATAGCCGATTAGAGGGACGAAAATATTACGCGCTATTTAATCTTCTTTGGAGATCTATGACACGTCGGCTGATTCGATCCATTGTGAAAATCTCGACCGCGATCTTTCGCGTTACGCTCACAAAGGGTGCTGTTCGCGCTATTAATTTTACGACCGAAACGATTTATTTAATCCGCCGTGAATTTCGATGCAAGAGGTCGAGCGTTTGGTAGGCGAGAGTAAGAAGCTCTGATTTTCGACAAAGTGAAGCACCGAAGCAATAACGAGCAAAATTTTTAAAATAGCGAAATAAATATTCAAGAGTAACTGAGGCATTTGAAAGCTTTCTTTAGTAATGTTTGCATAAGTTTTGTACGAGTCTTTAATCCTGCGACAGCTCGGTGAATTTTTTCCCCCAATTTTAGCCTGATATTCCATTTTCGCTTTCAAAATTTCGCGAATAATAAGAAAAGAAATTAAATCCATCGTGAGATTGTTCAAAAAGCCACAGAATACTTCTGAAATAAATTTCATGAAAACAAAGATAAAAAATTGTAAAATTGAGCTCGAAAACTGTCGAATTTGCAAGATCTCGCCAGATTAATTGAGGGTTGAAAAAACGAATTGAAATGTATTCCAAACTTCCCACCATTTCCACATAATATCGCAAGCACTTTAAATTGATATTCAAGCGTCGCAATCGCTGTAATCGCGATACGGCCGTGTCGCCATCGCAGTATATCAAAACCGTCACAGGATAGGCCTATAGAAAATTCTAATACAATGGCATCGAACAAGTTCCAACCATGTCGCGAACCCAGTAGTCCTTGGCGATTACCTTTAACACCATGTGTCAGAACGCATCAAGGGGCATAGCTGAAGCGGCGCATTGTGTGTCACGTCAATGGACTGCTGCGTATCATTCGCAATAGACAGCGTGCGCGACACGTCCCACTTAACGCGCGCGGTCACAGATTGGATTATGCTGTGGGGTTGATAGGAAAACACGCGAACGACTCTCCTCGAATATAGGATGAATTCCGACGATAGGAGATCTTGCATTGATAATAAAGAGGGGATCGCGTATGGGCACACGCATAGAGAGAGAGAGAGAGTGTCTTCTGATTGCTCGTAATCGCGAACAATCGACTCGACGACGATTTGCTTACTGGCACACTTCATTAGAATCAGTTTGTTACACACCAAATGGGATTCTGCGTATCAGCTTGATTCAATATACCATGCGTAACCTTCGTTCGTTCTCATTCTCCGCTTCCTTTCGTATATTTCTGCTCGTTACGCGCTCATTTCTGCTCCAATTTATCACCACCCCGGTGCGGCGCTTTCGCGCTATTCTTGTCGAACGTGTTACATACGTTTCACAAATCCCGATTTATTAATCTTGTAGGTACGTATGCTCGAAACGAACGAAGATTTTTCGCCTGTTGCGAGAACGGACACGGGTATTTCGGTCGCGCGATGCGACACGCCAAATATAAGCTGTCTTACCCAAATAATTCTCCGTGTGACGTAATTGTGTCACGTTCAGAGCCAGGGCACCTCGTGGAACTGTGGCCACCAGATTGTAACCCCGTTCCAAGGTCGGTTCCGTGAAAATCCCGTCGATTAGGTGTCCAATGCAGCCGCTCGAAAAACACTGCGAACACGTTTAGCGTGAAATTAATTTGTCCTGCTTGTACCGGCTGCTTCGGTTCTCTACTTATTACAGGATCTACAGGGTGGATCTTGAGAATACTGGGATGCTCGGCTAGCTTCTTTGAAATTGGAAGTAGGAAAACATGGGTGCGATGATATTTTATGCTGGCGAATATGGCGAACGAATTTTTTCTCTCGATAAGTTGTAAACGTCGTTTTAGTAGATTTATCGAGAGTAATTGTTACTTGCTCGACGACTTGGTTATTGTGTAGAATATTAAATTCCTCGTAAAGTTTATGTGTAGTGTGATTTAAAGATTTAATAACTGCATACGTAGGCAGAGCCATAAATTCCTAACCACACGTACCGCTCATTACTTGAATACCGGATAAAAATTTCGGGCTGCGTTACAAAGGAATAGAACTGCTTGCAAAACTTTGTAATAATTGCGTAGGAGAATGAGTAATATTTATTCCTTTTTATTTTCATCCCGCTTTAGGGGACTTGTGACTTTTACACTTTTTAAGTCTGCAAAATGCTTGCAAAGGAACATCTGGAAGTGATGATCACCGAAAGAATCGGTAAAATTGATTTCGTTTCATTCTCACTCCACTTTAGGGAATTTCCAACTTTCACTCTTTTTAATTCTGAAAAATGCTTAACATCTCGAAACAACGACCACCGAGTTTAATAAAATTTTGGCATGTATATGGTAGATCTCGAAAAAATGTTAAACGCGTATTTTTTTAAATCGACGGCCGTCCACGTCGAAGGGATGAAAATCGCGCTGAAAGTCGAGGACAGTAGTTTAGTCGAACATCTCGAAATTTATTAGTATCGTTTACTCTTCCATTTTTGATACTTGTTTCCTAGCAAAGTAGCACGAAACATCCTGTCGCGAAATTGGCAGTAAACCGACCCGGCGCAACATTGTCAAGGGTGATAGAAATGACACGGAAGTAATAACGAGTTTGCACGCTCTGCACGAGGAAGCAATCAGAATGTGCTAACAGAAATAATGGAAAGCGTTACGCTTGTTTTGTCAGGCACATTGCTTGCGTTGCAGTGCATTGGTATCCGTGATAAATATCTTTGCTTTTTTATTGCCGGGCTGGGCTTGTACCGTGTCTCTGAGCGTAATACGATTGTTTTTTTCTTTTTTTTTTTTGTTTATTTCACGAAGAGCAAACGCACAGATTCATTGTCTGTAAATTTCGCGAACGTTGCCCGAGTTCGACGTGAAATATTGGAGGGATTTTTCGGAAACGGCACCACAGTCGGAATCAGGGAAAAGAATAAAATATTCCTCGTTTGAAAACGAAAGCTCTAAACCATCGTGTGAATCACAAAATAAATACAGTTCCGGAGGCAGACGAACACATTAAGCCACCCTTATTCACCGACTATATATACATATTTATAAAAACAACAAGTCAGAAGAAAGATCATCTCTTTTTACATTCTCTGTCTCCGCTTTCGAAAATAGAACCGGCGTATATATGCGCACAATACGAGATGTGGTACAACGACATCTCGAAAACCCTTATTAAATGAAACACTGTCCGGTAAATATTTTGGAGCAAGTAGGATCTTTCCTTTAGGACTGCGAGTTCTGGCTCGTCGCACAGATTCTGGTCGAGTTGTGACAGAAACAGTTGTGTTAGCGATAAGAATTAATTTCTATTCCAAATATCGTTTGAATTTATAAAACTCAGGATTACCAAAAGTAGTTATCTATAATATTTCAAAGCACAGATTTCGGTGAAGATGTGACAAAAACTGTATATACTATATTTCTAACTTTCATATTTTCCTAAATACAACGAATATACAATACATTATCTTTCCTTACTCAACACAGTATTAAACTACTAAACACCTGACGCTCAGATACCAAAAAAAAAAAAAGAGAAAACTCAAAGGGTTAAACACCCGTCGAATCGAATTCCATTAAAAAAAAAAGGAAAACCTACTCGAACACACACTCGTCTGTTTACACATGCAACTGGATGCTTCGAATTTCGCGAATCACCATCAACACGCACAGCTCGGTCATTCGAGCAAACTATTTATAGGGAATAATTAGTGAAAACAGAGGGTGGTGTTTGCACACGTGGCTACTTAACGTCTGTGCAAACAGTAGACAGCAATCGAATCGAAGTGGATTCCGAATGCGACGCGAATTAGTAAGTCACAACACGCGTGCCGGGACACGTGTTTGGACGCGTGAAACCGCCGTGAAATTATGGCTGTCACGGCATAAATTTAGCCCCGTCGCGTTCACCCGACGCGGAGTGTCCAAAAAGCCGGCTGGATTTTGTCGCCTCGCCGTTGAATCCGCGACAGCTCGAGTGCACCGGAAACCGAGAATCGCCTACGTGGGAGATCCTTTTATGCATCGATCGAGAATATACAACTATGTACAAGTGGGAACTTGTTCAGGTTTACGGTGCATCCTTGCGTGCTTCCATTAAGGAGACCTGGCTGCCGTCATGTTCCCTACGTGTTTACGGGGAATACGCGGTGGACGTTATTACTTGGCTAGGGAGAAACGTTGCTTCACGGAGTACACGATGGTATAATCGAGGCTGCAACGCGTCAATTGCTTCTGCGATGTTAATCTCGTCCGATGTTAATCGCTTAATGTTGTGTGACTGACGATCGGAGGTTTCAGATTGCGATATTCAGTGAATTACGACCGATTCTACCTTTGACCGGTCTGTTTATACATTTTACCACGGGACAATTTCGAAACAATTCGATTTTCAGATTCGACATTGATAACGAATTATTAATCGATCGCTAATACCTGCGTGTACCATTATTGCAACTATCGCGAGAAGATACAAAAGGGTAATTGATATTCTTAACAATAGTTACCGGGACATCTGAAAAGCTTGAAAAATGCCGGTTGGAGTGATTGTTTACAGATTTATGACTTCTGAGCTGCACCGTGACAGGTGCGATTAATATTCGAGTCTTGTAAACGTCTATGTTGTTTGCGATTTTAATCGGGAATAGAAAGAAAAATTGCGATTATTTCTTGGAAGCGAGTCCTCTCTATTTCTGTTCGCGCGACGTGTACAATAAAGATGTAATTTCTATTAGACAGTAGGTGGGAAATGGACAATCTGCGAAATAATGTTGCGAAAGGAGGATATCGTACGGTTGCTACACACGTTCGATACTTTGTATTCGCACGGTTGATGAAGTTAGAGAAGATTACGGCGATAAGAAGAGTTGGAAGTTAAATTGCATATAGCGTGGTACGTGGGTTAGTGTTACATGGGCGTAGAATCGGTATATGGGACGCGAAAGACGAGTATAAATTACAGAGAAGACCACATGGCCACGTACGAGCAAGTGCTTCGATGGTGATTCAGGTCGGATCTGGAACCTCGTATCTATTACTACCGTTTGATTGGCCGATTAATAGAACCCCGATGGCTTTCTTGAAAAATCTATTCTATTTCGGTACACGGTTTCGTAATTTGGGAATGCGTCGAGACCGGTGACGCGCCAGGAATGTTGCAGGACGATTTTAGAGGGCTTAATGGGACTCTATCGGCGAACAGATACGTTAGAATCGATTAATTCCCTTTTGAATTATCCCTCGATTGTAACTAACGCTTTTACACTATTTCTAAGAATGTCTATACACATACTTTCCAGCAAAAATCTTTCAGTGAGTTTAAAAAAAATTTCTATTTACAACACTCCTCTTTTGAAACTATTGAAACATTTCTGATATCGTTAGAAATGAAGGAGATCCGAGACACCCTGTACATCCATATCGCAAGCTACACAGCACGAAAATCGTTACGACCGATTGAAATTCTCCGAACTTCTCAAACGACAACTGTAAGAATTAAAAATTTGTACATTCGTATCACAAGCTGCGCAGTACGAAAATCGTTACGACCGATTGAAATTCTCCAAACTTCTTTTCCCGACCAAAGTTTAAAAATGCTAAATTTCCGCACGCTAGAAGTGAACGCCTAAATTTGCATACGAAAACCTCTGCGCAGCACGTGCCGATCGAAAAATGTGTTCGGTTGGTTTTCCAGCATGAGCGTCCAGCATGGGCGTCCTTGATATCCGCTAGAGCTGAACGCGGCGGCGCTGTTCCGTTGTAGTGACACTTCTTTTTTCAGTAAAAGCTAATCAGTAACGTGCATATAAAGCCGCGCCCAAAGTGACACTCCTCGGCACTCTGATTGGATTAACCCGGGATGAATGTCAAGTTACTTGTTGCTTATGTGTTGCGCCGCGCTGGCCGCCGCTCCATGTTAATTGTATGAATATCGCATGAGCGAATTTATAAATCGCGGGTGGGAGGGGAACAATGCGAGCCGGCTGTGGTACCGGTGTCTCGATTACCGTTCGATAATGTCAAACCACGTGAAACAGGTCCCCGATTACTCGATATTAACGACAAGGATCGGGCGTAACGCGCCCGAACACCGGACGTTAATGTTATCTACCATCGATCGTTATCTAGGATTTGTATTTACGACGTCGACCCTGATTTGCGAGCGACTCCGTGGAATTATGATTACGTAGAAATTTATGGAATCCCTTAATTACGTAACGAGCCGCGCGGTTAAATGGCGAACGCGATAATTCACGCGAAAGACCCGATCGAACGGAGTACTTACGCTGTATTGTGCAAGTGTGTCCGAGCTTTCGCTCGTTTCAAATTTTTGTCCGCAGTTTATTGAAATTCTTTGGAAAATGATGTGGTATAGAGAAAATTTTTGGAATTGTTTGCAAAATTTCGAAAATTGATATCTATTTGTTTTCATTCTCACTTTAGTTTAGGGAACTTCTGACTTTCACCCTTTTAAATTCTGCAACATGCTTAATATCTCGAAATTGTAATCACCGAAAAAATCAGTAGAATCGATTTCTTTTTATTCTCACTCCACTTTAGGGGACTCCCAACCTTCACCCTCTTTAATTCCGCAAAATGCTTAACATCTCGAACTAATCACCAATTT